AAAGTGTGCAAAGGCTATGGGCCTCTCATGCCTGTAACAGCTGAAACAGTGACCAGTAACAGCCTAAGTGATTGATGAAGTAGGGAAGATGACTTCAGAAAGTAGAATCAGAAAGTGACAGGAAAAAAATGGATGTGGAAAATAAGATTTCATGAAGGAGAGAGTTTGATTTACATTTCATACAAAAAAATAATTTTTTACACCGATGCTAACTAATTTTATTTCAAGCACTCCCTGACAGGTCAAGAATGTTCTTTAATGCAAATAATAGATTAAGACAATAGCAACATGGCTCCAACCAAAGGAGGACACAAAAACATATGCCCTTCAGAGACAAAGGAAAGCATAGATTCTGCCCTGAAGAGCTCACAGTCTGCTTTTACTAGTGCATGATGAGGGGGTATTTACCTATTATAGACCTAGAGAGTGCTGACTTTGTTATTTAATCTATAAAAATAATTTTCTGAAGTTTCAAATAATTATTGACAATGATTCTTGAAAATAGACATGAACATATAGCAATATTTTAAAAGTTTGACATAAAGACAGTGGATTGAATAAACTGCACAAGAGTACTGCTTTAACAGATTTGGAACCTAAGGATGTAACTGCTTTGATTCATTGCTTGTTACAATCCATCAAAATTGCTTGGTTTATCATAGCTCTTCATTGTCTTCAAGAGATTTAGTGAAAGGGTTTTTTTCCACTACTTCATACGGCTTTTCAAATGCTGACAGGCACACAGTCAAAGAAATCCATGGTAGTGTCCCTTTTTGTGTTCTGTAAGTCTTGCTGGACCTGTTTCACTTCTATGCTGCAGGTAAGGCAATAACTCAAAAAGTACTGAAGTCTTCACTAAGGAAATCACATCAGAATTACTCTAGTATAATTGCATATGTGAACAATTGAAAAAAAATATTGAAGTCAGAAGGCATTTTAAATAAATAAAATAGATGTTCCTGTAATGAATCTAGTCAGCCACAGAAGCAGACCATCATCTTCCAAAATACACTAAATTCCTCTGTATACCATGCTCTTGCCAAGGCCCCATGTGGAATAGCGGAGCTGTCTTCACTCTTCATGACCAGGGAAAGTCATCAATCCAAACCTACAGGCATGGAAGGCTGCCTTGTTTCTCTATTTAGGCTAGATCATGAGGTGACAGACATCTGTCTCACCAGCACAGATCATGAGGTGACAGAGACCTGTGAACACCCTCATGGTGGTAAAACTGCAGTTTCAGCAAAAGCATTATTATACCATCAATTGTGAATCTACATAGTCTATGTTCTATCGTTTCCAATCCTATAGATAAATGAGACAATAACTAAGCCTTTGCAGCTTCACTTTCATTTTCATATTTTGAAAAGCCATTCATTATCAGTCCTGCAAAAGAAGAGCCGAAAAGTAGGAACTTAAAGGGCCAAAATAATAAAACTGACAGTGACATTATAGCCGTGGAAACTGCCATAAGGCACACAGACTATAGCAGTCTGAAACCAACAGCATTCTAAGGAAATGCTGGGGTTGTCCACAGGAGAGCAATGAAAAGATCTGATCAACAGTTGTCACAAAGTCCTTAAATAAATTGTTTTCATATCCCTGTATAAAACAAAATATTTAAGAAAATAATGGGTAACTCCTATATTGATTTTTTTCTTTTTGACAACATCATTTTAAGTGCTGGACTTAGTGCAAAACATTGCTAAGTGTTATATTACCCAATCAAAAAATAGTATGAACACAGGCAAAAAGACCTCACCTACCACCTTCTGCTTCATATGCTGTAAAATGGTCTTTCAGTTACTTACATTTAGACGAACGCATTCCAAAACAGAGGCCTTTTTCAAAGTCATAATCTAGCACACACTGAAAAAACCACACCGCTCATGATTCAGAAATTTGACTGCAGCTCTACTGAAGTTTTTATTTCAGTAGTTTCTATTTAAATCAGCTTCAACTTGTGTTTAGTCTCTTGCCCTGCTGGCTTTTTCAAGGTGAGAAAACAGAGTATGCAATATGCACACAGTATAGAAAGATGATCTTATACACAAAATCATGAGAGATTTGAGACAGATGGCCAGTTTCCAGTACTGTTACCAATCTCTTTTAACGATTCTAGGTAAATTACTTCACCTTGTTAAGCCTCAGTTCTCAGTTGTAGAGTTGTGAAGACAAACAGGTTAATCATAGCTATTCAGACCCCAGAATTGAGTGTTTAAATAAAAGCAAACAAAACAACCCACCACACAAGTCAATTAAAGAACTACTTGGTAAAGGCCAGGCCAGGCTGACACCCAGGCCTAGGAAACCAGAAAATTGAACTCATGGGACCAAGCTCTCTGTTGTTCATTATTTCTCAAGCAGGTGCCTTTAAGAATCAAGTTTAGCATAACATCTTTACTGTGTGAAGCATCCAAGAAAAGGATACATTCAGACTTGTAATGAACATAAAAACCCTAATGAAGCTGCTACCTTGTCAATCAGGCGTAGCCCGAGACAGCCAAAAATAGCAGGAAGAGTTCCAGTACTGCAAAGAGCATGCACCTACTATGTCAACTCTTGAAGTAAAGATGTCCAAAAAATACTCTGTGTGTAGAGTGGGCGAACAGCAGACAAAATTTGAACAGGTTTCCTTTACTCTCATGAACTTCTGAACAACCAGGAAACAGGAAGATGGGTGGAGTCAGCTACTTGTTACTGAGAATCAGGACAGTCGGTCCTACCTGCCCCCAAGAATGCCAGCACCAAAAAGCAATAAAACAACGCAAATTACCTTCCCTCAGCCCTTACAGGTTTGCACATATGAATTTTCATGCTACTACGGAACACAATTCTGTAAATCTAATCTCAGCAACTAACCTTTGAAGTATCAAGCTTCATTAACCAAGGTGCAACACAACAAAAAGGCCTGCAACTGAAGGCACAGCAAGCAGCAATGCTGCGCTGGTGGAACCTCCTCAGCCAAAGGCTAGACAAGGCAGCAAGTCATGAAATTTTATGCTTTAGAGTGGTCCCACATTACTGCACATCTCAGAACTTGTGATCAGCAGTTCAGCTACCTTTAGACATATTTCTTACTGTGCATTTATAATCTTGGCTTTACTCCCTGTCATTTACATTGCACATAAGCAAGTTGTCTATACTGTGCCACACTACCTTGTTTCTATTGAGCATACTTGCTCTTCTGCCTGTGGGCAATTAACTCAATTTGTGACAACAAAGTTCCAGCCACCAGTTTAAACTTCTCATCAGACTTTTGGCATGGGTTGCAAAAAGCCTGCCAGCAAACTATGGCCACAAGCAGCAGTTGTTTTCACCAGGGAAACCTCATTCTTCAGTGAGATCCCTCTCCCACTACACCGCAGACACGGCCAACATACAGCAGCTTTTCAGCTACCTCTACTGTGTAGTTCTCTCATCTGTATCACCAGGAGAGGGTATACCCTGTAAGAGGTGTACCAGTGGTATGCATTTACTAGAGGAATGACTCCAAAATACACAGTGCAGCAATCTGCTCAAGAACTTAGCATAGGCTTATTTCAAATAAGAGACCACTTTGTACTCTCTGGCCAAACAAGCAAGACATGGAATAAAAAGGGCAGAAGCAGTTCCCGCCATTCATACGCAGCAGTTGACTGAAGAAAAGTTGTATGTTTTTCAATACTACCTCACATCTTCTCTTAAGCCTTTTTTCTGAAAAATAAACAGAAGATCAACACCGCCGCCTCTGAAGACACAGTCTATTTTCTCACCCCCCCACGCTTACCAGTTGTCTCCCAGGTCTCCCCCTAAGCAAACTTGCCTGCATTACCGAAAAGAGGGACACCCAGCCAGACCGATCATTCTGATCAGGCAATAAAACCGTAAGGTCAGGGTCACAATTTGCAGTGCAGAGATATTTCCTTACTGCACACACTATTTAAAAAAATACTGCCAAACTGAGTTATGACAGAGCACGACTCTCCACGTGACAGAAACATTCAGTTAAGTTAAACTGATTCTGCTTTTCTTTTTTACACCTTCTCTTCACCCCCTAAATTATTCTAGTCTGTGCATTAATCCCTTGCAGAATCTTTCTCGTTGTGCCACCTAGACACCCATATTTGCCTAGCAAGTTTCATCTTGTCTCAACTGGAGTCTTTCTCTTAGGAGTATGCAGTCTGTTATACTGCAGTTTATTACCTTCAAAAAGAGCCTGAAGACAAAAAGACACCTCAGGACTTAAACAGTTCACTGATGTTCTGTTGCAACCTTTATTTAAAGAGCCAATTTGGCTAAGATGGCCTAAACAGACAGGGAACAAATCAGAAAGATTAAGTGTATGACAACAACAAAAACAAAATTCCACCCCAGATCATGGTAAGAGCTCCGAGCAGCATTTCTGCCTTACATGGGCGTGTTTTAATTGTGCAGCTGGAAATTGAAATTCTATAAACTGGCGTTTTTATTAGAACAGCAGCGCTTTATCACATTTGGGCACTGTTTACTGAAGAGCTTACCATATGACCCAGCCAGCAAAAGTATAGGACAAGCAGAAAACTGAAGCACAGAGCCAAGTCACTTGCCTAATGGTGGGGGCAAGCCTGTGGCAGGGCCAAGAACTGAACATAAACTTCTTTACATATCGGCGTATTGCCTGAGCTAAGACAACAATGAACATTTGTGCAGAACTACTTCCTCAAGCACTACGGCTATCACACATCATTTCAAAAACTGCATAAGCAAACACAACCTTTTAATTAACCTGCCAGAAAGCTAACACCGACTGAGAAGCAGCCAGTGCCCAGCCTAGATCTGCTCCAGCCTTCCTGGCTGTCAATTTTTGTCATTTAGAGTCTTTGTTTGAGTTCCCCCATGAGGTGACCTTTACAAAATTCTGCTCTTCTGAAGATCAGGAAATTCAGTTACCTGCAATATTACATGGGACAGCACTTAAAGCACAATAAAAAAACAATTAAAAATGTCTTCCAGTCAAGTTCAATAAAACACAGTAATACCTTAATTTTCTGGTGAATATGCCTCAGTGAATCTGCTGTACCCATGTCCATGTTGTCACTGATGCACACAAAATCCAGCTTCATTTTTGTGTCCAAGTTTAACATCTTTTGGATTTCCTTCCTTGTAATCACAATGACCTCTAGGACAGAGGAAAGTGGGGTGAGATGAAGCAGAAAACCAAAAATATTCATCACAAATAGGATACACTCACTTTTTATTTACAAAAGGCTTCAGTAACATAACTGGGTTCTACAATGAACCAAGCTCTTTTGGCAATAGTAACTTCTGAAGAAGAGAATTAAACTTCTAATGAATATGAAAACAACCTCTATGGCTTTGTGTGGCTGCAGGCTGTTACTGAAAGGGACACATGCATGTGAGCGGCGTGAGTTAGCAAGAAGGAACAGAAACGTCTTCTATCATTAGCAAGCAACCTCAAACCATATGTCCTCAAACAGACCAATGAGACCTAGAATTAATGTAACCAACACTTTAGAGCTTTGCCTTTTGCCCACCCCGATCCTGTATAACCCTCTGTGGACGATACCAAACACAGTATTATGATACAATGGTTAAACTATTTCTCAGCACCAGCTTGGCAAGAGAGTGGAGTAATATGTGAGCAACAAACTCATTACATCTACAAAAGAAAAAAAGGTACATGCATATTTGAAGGATATCAACAGTGGCGTGAAAGCATATTTTCCAAAATGAAGAATGTGTGAACAGAAGCTCTGCGAAGAAAAGACTGAGAAAACAAAACAGCAAGAAACCTTTTCCCCTGGTCTCAAGAACTGGAAGGAAAAGCAACAGTCAAACCCTCAAATTAAAATATCCCACCCCCTAAAAAATCCCAACACGGTAACATTGTATTCCACATGGAACTCTAACATGGAAAATAATACAGCCCTCAGCCTAGGAAGCTCCTGTGGCAAGATGAAAACACACTAAGAATAAAACTCCATCAACCAAAACTGAACTCATCCTGAATCTGTTAACAGGAAAGAGGAAGGAGCTGTGAACATGAGAATTGTGTGGCAGTTTGGTACCAGAGATACGGGAGGGCTGCTCTCCCACTCCCATACTGGATGCCAACTTGGATTCAAAACCGGCTGAAGGACCTAGAGAAAGGGATTGAAAGCACACCTTGAATTAGGAACAGATGGAGAAGGAACTGGTGTCAAGTGGAATTTGCAAGCCAACACAGTTTGGCAGAAATCTGGTCAGCTGGACAAAGGTCTCCTAAATATTAGGAGAGATGAAGCACTTGCAATTAGGACAAAAGGCATGCAGTGAATCGGTCTGTGAAACACCTACTTACTAACACAGGCAGGTATGAGGAACTAAAGCCTCATGTAATACTTAATAAAAATTATGATCCAGGGAGAGAATTCATGCCACTGGGTTAACGCAGAAATGTACAGCTTGGTCAAGGGGTAGAAGCAAGAGAGCAGCAGGAAGGTGGCAGCTTGCTTACTGAAGCTGCATATACAACCCTGCATATCCAAATTTTCGTAGGGGATAGATAAGCTGAAGAGCTGTGTGTGAGAAAGTAGAAAAAACTGACTGTAACATCACCTACTAGTGGTCAAGAGCATCAAGTGGAAATGGTTATTTCTGAGTAGACAAAGAGCGACACAAAGCACAATATTGGTTACACAGAAGCTTTTAGCTACCCACGTACCCATATCACAAGATAAAAGTATGATCCTAGCAAAAACGAGACAGGAGAACAGTCAAAGAAAGCGAGTAGTCAGAAAGCAGATTTCAACAAACAACAGGCAAAAAACAGTATCAAGGAAAAAAGCTCTCAAGGATTTCTTAATGAAACAAAAAAAAGGCAGCATCTTAAGTTTGTTCTTTCTTCTGTTCCTTCACGCTGAAATACTAAGAGGCTAACATGGATAATCATGAGCTGATCTCTACATCTTCACAGAAAAAAGAAGCAGTCAGGAAAAAAGCCACAGTCTCAGGATGGAGTGCAGAATAATCGCACAGTTATGCAGGAGAAGCAAAAACAGAGAAGCAGAAAGGCAAAAGACAATACAAACATGAAAAAACAGAGGCATGAAAGGTCTCAGGAAGAAATTTTATAAGAAGCAGAGGAAACACCACATAAATATTTGATCCACCTCTCAAAAGGTAAACAGAAACCTAAACCCAGAAAATACTGAAGAACTTCACCATGTACTAAATACCATTTTAGCCCTCTCATGAAACAAGGCCCACAGGTGAGCATTAGCTCACCCAGCTCTTAGCTCCACGCTGCAACAACGACTAAATGTCTCAGACAGAGCAAGTAACCTGAACTTCAGGCCAGACTGAAAGAACAAGAGATATCCCAGGAGAGCTGACACACTTTTCACGTTACTTTCATTAATGATTCAGAGAAAGAAATGAGTGAGAGTCTCTGGTTAACAAAACTGGGAAAGATATCAAAGTTGGGAAAAGCATATAGATGGGAAAAGCCTTGGCAAGGACAGAAGAGGAGGAAGGGGGCGCAGGCACAGCAGGTGCAGCCTAGAGCGAAGGAAGCGACGTGACATGGGCCAACAGCATAGCTGCAGTGCAAAGAGATCTCCTGCTACGGCATCTGCCCCGATCAACAGGGCACCTGCGACAACACATTAGAACAAGAGGAGGCGACAAACGGGAGTGGCAGAGGCGACCATGGGAAGCCTGAAGACACCAAGGTAAGCAAGTCGCCTTCAGTCCTACACCAAGACACCGTCGTGCCTCACCTTCGAAGCCGGCGCGCTCCAGGAGGTTCAGCGGATACCAGAGGAGGGGTCGGCTGCCCACCGGGAGCAGTGGCTTCGGGATGCTGGAGGTCAGGTCCGTCATACGGGAA